GCGCTATCAGAAATGTTATATACTGTATACTAGTGTTACACATAACGTCATAAATGTGTGCATGCAAACATCCACTTTTGTGTATTCATCTGATGTCTGGCTGCTCTATCATGTATGCATTTTTTGTCAAATGAAATACAGCTAGGCTCACAGTGTATTATTTTCTGTTATAATCTTAGGAGTGATAACTAAACACTGGCCACTGGTCGCAGTGACCTGCAAATAAAGTGATCTATTAAAAGCATGGAAACTCAATTTGAAACCAACTCAATTACAAGTTGTTTCTGTAAGACCGGCCTGTTCAGTGTAAATTCTACCTCTGTTTACCTTGCACACATTTTCAGAGTAGAGGAGATTAAAGGTGAATCGAATCAGTAATGCATGATGGGAACTTTCAACAAAACATCCAGTCATCTTGATGTAAATCACTTAACTATCAGCCTGTATTGGATTTTTTCCCCTAAAATCAAGGAACAAATGGATCAAGTTTGCTTTGACATTTTAATATCAAAGCATATATTTATAAAACACCGCCTTGTAAAAGTATTGTAAAATAATTGCAATTATGCGTCTGTAAATTAAATCCAGTTACCCCTAATTGCTTTCTCCTCAAGTCTCCTCCCCCTCATCTTCCTCGCTCGTCTCTGAACAAGAAGCCTCGACTGTGTCATGAGAACATGCTGGATTGTGTAACGCTGTCATATTTCTTCAACAGCACATGTCTGTGGGGTCCATGTCTGTCGGGTTGCTGCTGCCTCAGGATTATGTGGCTGAATCTTCTTGGCCCGCAGTTAAGATGACATGAGAGGCTTCCTGTGGAGGAGGGCTGCCAAAGAAACAGCACTGCCATGCATGTACACCCTGCACACCCTAAAAGGCTCTTTTAAACGTTGTCTGTGCAACGTCGCATGAGTTCTAATATGAACACCTACCCCAGTAGGACGACAGCATGCATACTGTATGTGGAATCCTGAAAATCAGAACATACTTGTTGAATTTGCTCACTTCCTAGACATCTAAAAGTTGTTGGTGCAAACCTTGGGGTCTCACAGAAACCCACCTTCCTTTACATTGTTACAGTAAACCGAATCAGCCATGATGTATGAGAACAGCAGGGACACTCAGAAGCAGCATGGAGACATGCTCTGAGGCTGCAGGCCCCGTCAGAACATTTAACTGAGTTCAGCCTTGATAAGAGTCCTGCCATTTTTCCAACATTTTTTTTCCCACCCACTGGGAGCTCAGCAGGGGGTTTATATGCCTGTTTGGTTCAAAGGAGATGAGAGGAGAGCGACAGGGTACGAAGAGGATTCGAGAAGAAAGAGTGAATGTAGGGAGGAGATCAGAGAAGGTGGAAAAGGGAGCAGGCACATAAATGGAACAAAGAAACAAAAGTGGAGCAAGAGTGCAAATAAAGGAGAAGGCCAGCAATGATGAAGCAGCAAAAAGATTAGAAAGACATACAAATAGATGATGAGATGTGTTCATCACTACACATCTTGGAGGTCCCATCATACTGATTCTGCCACAAAGGAGCAGGACAATGACCAGCTGTGACAGGCTGGGATTTAGAAAACCCATCACATACTGTCAGTCCAAGACACAAATGTCCCCGAGTGATATTTATGATAACATTAATGCAGCGGGGAATAGGCCACTTCACCAGGGCACAATGTCCCAAGAGTGTTTGATGAAAGGCTGGTGTGGAGGCGCTTTGGAGAGGAGTAAACTAAACAAACTTAATCCACTGAAATGATATACAATACGATGATGCATCTGTTGGGAAATAGATGCAGATGTTGTGAGTTTGCTGTGTTTATGAGTTGTACCCGGAGGAGCTTTGTGGAGGAGGAGTAACACGATGTAGAGCGTGTGTTTGTGTGTCATTACACAAACATATGGAGCTGTGTACAATGTGTGGTTAATTTGTTTATTATGCTGACAGAGTGCTTTGGCTCTGGTTGATGTAAGATTATTATTGCTGCAGGAAATGAATTGATGAATCATTATGCAAATGTGAATCACGTCAGCACTTTGACTACCAGACTAAACCGAAGGTAAGCATTTTATCTTTTGAGGAATGAATGTGACCAAATGAACAGGTTTTTTATTATTGCACATTTTATAAAGTTTGGTTTAACAGTTAAATGATTGTCTTCTATCTACAAAATGAGAGTATTTTTACATTTTCTTAATCATTGTATGTTTTTTACCCTTCAGGAGGCTATGCTAGTATCTATATGTAGAGACTTGAAACTTGGGCCTATGATAGATGGGATCATAAGCTGTACAATTACCCTTGAGGCACATCTGTGATATTGGGCTGTATAAATAGCTTGACTCAAAGGCCTTCATGCATTTTACAAGTTTTATACTGGCAATAAGAATAACTTCCATATGACATGAATGTGACATAATTGGAATGATAACGTACTTTTAGTAAGTAAATGCTAAACTAGTAGCATAATGTAAGTTGATCCTAATAAGGCTAAATAAACTATGAATGTATATGTTAGGACAAGTGTTAAAGCTGAAATTTAAAGTCCTCACAAGTGCTTTAATAAAAGCCTGTTTATGTCTGTGTCTGTTGTATTGCCAATCTTCCAGCTATCAGTTAATATTTACAAAATATAGGTAGTGTTCTTAGAATTTATCCTTTGAGTGTGTGTGTGTGTGTGTGTGTGTGTGTGCGCATGCTTGCTGGCTGCTCTGAGCCCCAGCAGACCCCACAGCGAGCTCTAAGTGGCCCTGATTAAATCTGGCCTCCCTCTGCTCCTCTCCATTGCTTTTAGGATGCAGAGATAATGCTCATTAGGAGAGACGGGCGGGGACTTTGGGAGGCGGATGCTCGCATGTGGCTGTAATGGGGAGTGATGGGGGGATAATACAATTTGGTTGCATTTGAAGCTGTGACTAGAGGTTAATTTTATGGAGTGTGTGTGTGTGAATGAATGTATAAACCGTAAAAATGCCTCTCTTGTGTGTGGGAAGGAGTAAGGCCAAAGTTCAGGTGAGAGTAGTACTTTGTGTTCCTGCATCTTCTCTTGACTGCACATGTTAGAGGAATCACATAATAGTCATTTGGAAGTTGGTTGCTTTGCTTCTTTTTCCAACTCTCAGGAACACGGTCTGTGTGAGACTAACATTTTGGGAAATGCACTTATTTGCCGAGAGTTTGATGAGTATATTGATGCCTCTCTCAGAGAAGGGGTTCAATCTTCTCATCTTACTCTTGGTAACACAGTGAAACTATTACTTAACAGTCTCCTCACCTTTTTCTCCACATTGAATATTTAATCTTCTTCAAAAAATGACCACAGTCCTTACAACAACTTACAAACTCCTCTTTGTACTTTTACTCTTTTCCTTCCTCTCCTCCTCTTCCTCCTCTGTGTTCACACAGTGACATAATTAGCTAGAGTTGTTTTGCGAAGCACATTTAAGGCCGTGTTCTTCTACTGCTCTCTCTCCTGCTCACATCATCAGAGGGACCTCTGGGGCAGTTATATCACATTGATGTTTGCAGACTGAGGGAACCTGCAGCCTTTCCACTCACACACACACACACACACACACACACGGACAGACACCCCTCTTTTCCCCTGAAATGCCTGATCTGGCCCACCAGCTGAGACTGCTTCACCACATCATGAGAGCGCAACAAAAGGTATTGCCTGTCATGGTACCTTTAACTTCCCACCTGACATGAAGCTCAAGGGGAGATGAACGAAAAACTGTAATTGGCCTGCTGCAGAAAGGCAGATTGGATTAACAGTTATTGTTTTGCTCTTATTATTGCTATTACCATAATATTTATGTTTTGATGAATTTAACCCAATGATTTGATGAATAACTGAGATTGTGGCTATCTGCTTTTATAGCCTCTTGATCACAGGGCACAGGGATCTATGCTGCTTAAGTGTCCATGAGCAAGACACTCCATTTCCCCAGCTCTATAGAGCGCTGAAGGAAAGGAGGTAGCATTTTTGCACTTCCGGTTCCCTCATCTCAAAGTCAGATGCTTGAAAGAAGGTCTGTGGTTAACTCAAGCTTAAGACATTTTAATTTTTGTTCCATGACATAAAATCCGTCAGTAAATACCCACTTGTAAATTTAGAAGCTTTAATGTGTTTTAAAAAGGCAGTTGAAAGTGGGTAAATGAGACTACTAAACTCCATCATGCAAAACACTAGTCTGTCATTAGCTTTGTGTTCATGACATGAAGTTATGGGACCCTGGTGTAGTTTGTTTATAAAAAAAAAAAAAAATCACGGTGTTCATTGGTGAATATTATCTTGCTGAACAAAACGTATAAGTATAATAAATGTTTGCCTCAAAGCTTATTTTCTGCAGTCATACAAAATCCAATGAAAAAATCCCTTTGGCTTTTTGTGAGGGAACCAGTTCGATGCTAACTTCTGGGTCGGCCTAAGAATACATCATCCCTGCAGCACTCTATTGGTGTCCTCTAGCTGACCCTGACCTCCCTGTGTTGATGATGGTGGGGAAACACAGGGAACAATTGCCCCATAGGGATCCATAAAACATCACATTCACTGGATTGTTTCTATTTCAAGTGACCGGATGCCAGCACTTAAACGTGTTCATGCTTCCTTCAACTGAACCACAGTGCGCTTAATGCGGATAAATGACTTGCAAAGACCTACTTCTTCACAAATTGAGTCTCTGGTTTTAATGATTTTATTTTATCACTAGGTAACAGAGTGCAGAATTTAAAGAGATATCGTTTTCTTTTTGTACTTTAAGCCACTAGTTCAACAACAAAACCCCCGCATAGCTGCTGAGCTTAAAAGTGTGTTTTAACTAACTTAAAGTGCATTTTCAATGAGGGGATTTCTCCTTTGATTAGAGAAGATAAGGTTGGTTTGAATGTCTGTTGGGTATTAAATGTCTTCCCTCCCTAGGGGGATTTCTGAGTCTTATCGCTTCCTGTTTGTTGTCATGTCACACTGTGTCGATCAAGACGGCAGAGAGTGAAACTGACGCCCGACGGGGAGTGCGCTGGGCGGGCATGGGCGATATGAGCACCGGGGCGCTTAAATCTTTTATCTGAAGAATGGCCGCTTCGGTGATAACAGGATTGGCGTATCCCCACTAGCTCCTGGCCCATATTCCCGAAGAAAACGTTATTTGCATCGCTCAAGAAGAATTAAGGGGGGCTCTGTTCTCTACAGCCGGTTTCCGCTGCGCGCAATCACAGCTCCAGGACCAGCGGTGGAGTCGGTGCGCTCTGGCAGAAAGCATCCAGCCACCCTCTCTGTGGGCTCAGACAGCAGTCAGTGCTGCTCTCAATGCCTCCAAGCATCAGCTATCGGCCGTCATTAGCGAAATCCCTCGCAATGAAACCGCTATAATCCAGCCTGCCTTTTCTTTTTAGTTTCACTCTTTACTTATTTCACATCGGGAGTAGAAAAAGAAGAAAACCCACGCGAGAAACGCTCTCCATCTGTAAGTTTTCGTGTGTGTGTGTCGCACTGGAGGGGAGGAAGCGATGGCAGCCCCGGTGAAAGCAGCGTTGGCTCTCCTGGTTCTCACCGTGGCAAGTGAGTAATCCTTTCAAATCCTCCCGGAACGGGACGGGACGGGACGGGACAGGGGGGCTTCTACTTTGCGTAAGAGGCTCACTGTGTCACACTCTCTGGGCTCTGTGCATGGCAGTTATCCTACTATATATATATATATATATAACAGGTCTAGGAAGTGTTAGCAATGTTAGGAGTTTAATTTAATTCCACGTGTGCTTTGTAGCTAAACATCACACCTCCACCCTATTAGCTAAAACAAATAGCCTAATGATCTCTGTGAGTTTTTATTTGTATTTTGGGCAAATGTCTAAGTCATATTTTAACTTACAAACAACACGCGAGACCGGAAAGCAGGCCAGTGGGGAAAATAATGGCATTTCCGTTCGCCAGTCAATTTAACACGTGATTTTACAGCGCGCCTCAATTAACTAACTCCTCTTTTACAAAAACAACAACTCAGAGTTAGAGTGAAATTGCTTTATACTTGCATGGGTGTGATGCTGGAGAAGGGTGCATTGCTGCACACATTCCCTTTCCCTGTTGGATGGTGTAGCTCTTATTGCGGACACACATACTTGATAATATCACACAATGGTAATCTGCGGCCCTCACTGCCTGCAATGTGTGTCAGTGTCCTCTGATTACAGTAACAGGGACCTAAATGGACCCTTTTTACAGAGTACCTTAACTTTAACTTAGTGCGCCTCTATCAGATTATGTGCAGTAGAAATATTTTCTCTTTTCATTCTATCAATTGAAGCAATTTCTGAGGAGCTGTCCATGATCCATGTAATGGGATCTCAAGCTGTCAGTGAATGATCTGCTGCAGCACTCAACAGGGCAAACCCCAGCACCCATTGTGTCGACTTTGGAATGCCCTAAAACTTGAAATGCCCTAAAACTTCAGCTTATTAGAAGAGAGTATTAATTTAGCGAGCACATTTGCTCTCAGATCAAGTTATCGAGTATAGGCCTTCCAAATTCTGTGCATTTCTCACGTTTAGTGAGTCTCCTTATTGTTCAAACCCTCTCCCATTCCCCTTTGTTGGACCTCTTTATTCCTCTTTTTTGTCTAACATATCCAACGTCATCTCTTTTCTATGACTCTTTCACTATCACCTGTGCTCTGTCTACAGACATTGATGACAGGGGCTCTGTCACTTCACCCTTGCAGCTACAGTAAAACGACTAAATCCATGCAGCCACTTTGTTGGGACATATTTCAGTCTCGTTCTGTCTCCTGTCACTCTCTGTGCCAGTCCCTGTCACTTCCTGTATGGCACATTTGTTATATTTTTCCTCTCCTTCTCTTGTTATGTAACTTATCTGACATATTTAGTTGCTCATGACACACCCCCTGTCTCCTGTCCTCTCTGTCTCTCTCAGTATCAACTAGCTGTAGTAAATGTGCCAATGTGTGCTAGAGCTACACCTGATTAGATGTTTTTCTCAGTAAAAGCTGACAAAATGCCCAGGAGCGCAAGAGGGGGAAAAACACGCTATCTGTGTGTGACAACCCTGACTCTGCTTCTCTGTAGCCCCCGGGTGAAGCTTTACATGTGGGTGGGCAGGAATATGCAGCTCTAAGTTTTGTCCTGCTGTTGTTTCTCATGACTTTATAACTGCTTTCTCATAACTGCAAATGTGTAATGTGTCAAGAGGGCTTGGCATCAGTGAGTCAACACTTCATAGTAAAGTATTCGTCATTGCAGGGGCACACTTGTTTGGATGTTGCTCTTTGAATGAGAGAAAGGAGGCAGATGAATAGAGATATATGTAATTTAAAGCCAGAGAGAGCATCTGATGAATTTACAAGACATTTAAGCAGCGGTTACATGTGAGAGTGACACTGAGGGAGCTGAGGACAGAAGAAAGCCACTTTTCCTGCTGCCATTGTCACTCTTCTGTTACTGTCACTGCCGAGAGAAAAAGAGCAAAGCAGTACAGAAAGACATGAGGGAGAGGACAAATAAAGAAAATGACTGTAGTAAAAGAACAGTTGGTTTTATCCTCACAGACTGAGGACAAACAACAAACATAAATCCAATGAGATACATCCATCCATCCATCCATCCATCCATTTTCTTTAACTGCTTATCCTGTTAAGGGTCGTGGAGGGGCTGGAGCTGACATTGGGCGAAGGCAGGGTACACCCTGAACAGGTCGCCAGACTGTCCCAGGGCCCATGAGATACTAAAAAACACAACATCTCTTTGCAGATACACTGTGAGCAATGCTAAACGTCTACTGGAACTTGACCATGTGGCTGTGTATGCATATGAGAGGCACGTGGGTGTCTTTTATAACATGACCGATACAGGCAGTGCAATGAGCAAAGCCAAAAGACAGCTGAATCCTAAATTGTTTTGGCCTCAGAAAGGCCACCCCAGATGGCAAGGCATTGAATAATTCACTACCCTAAAAAATAACCTACAGGATGCACAATTTGGATGCTTTTCTCTCTGTACACTGAACCGATAACACGGCCTGTCCACCCATCAGCATCACCTAAACACAGCAGCGATATAGCAGTGTGTCCGAATGTTTTTTGTCACAATTTTAAATTCTATATGTTGTGATGGGGACTATGTGGTGATTTGATCTGGTTTAGACGGACTTAGAGAGTCATCTTTGATTGTGGTTGAGTATCTGCTTGTGAGATGATGGCATTTTTATTTTAGCGGAGATGAATAATTAAGGTGTGGAGAGCGCAGCAAGGCGGAGAGGAGTGTGTGTGTATGTGTGTGCATACATGTGTGATGGGACCTGCTGGTAGACTCCCTAATGCTCCGTATACCTACATCGACCACATACTGTATACATCTCATTTTAGCCTTTTAGCATTTACTGTTAAACCCATACTGCATCTCTTCCTCCGTCCTTTCCACTAGTCCCATTAAGTGTGTGCTGGCTTTATCTTTATGCCACCCTCCTTAAATTTATAAGACAAAACTACGCCTCCTACTTCTCTCTCGCAGAAATCAGTTAGCAGCCAGAGAAAAGCAAATACCTCTACAGTAAAAAAACACATTGCTGGCCATGGTGGTGTGGTTAAGGATTTGATAAATTGGGATTATAAACAAAAATACCTCCATGGCAATGATTTAATATTGCACATTTATGAAGTGAGGGGACAACAAAATAATTGTCAAAATTGATGCAGCAGAGGCCAAGATATCCTGAATTTTAGTGCATATGGGTCAAAAACACAGAATCCTACATTTTGCACGATGCAACGAACATCATTATTTTAGTTTTTGAGCTCTCTGCATGGTAAATGCCCTTGTCTGTCAACTTGATCCGCCAAATGCTAACGCAGGCTTTCTGCAAGACATCAATGTCACCAGCGCGAGATAAAATACAAATGATGTATAAGTCTGAGTAGTACTCCTCAAGTAAAATGAATGCGTGCGATCAGTAGAGTGCCCCTTTAGGCTTCATGGAAGTATCTTTTCCATAATTGACTTTGTTTCATTTGATCGTCACAGATAATGATTCAATAACATTTTTAACAGATTCCTGATAATTGTCTACTGTTTGTCACTGCTTGGTGGTTTAGCTACTCTAGCTTTTTATTGAGGCTTTAATTGAATTAACCAAAGCACAAATAAAGCTGAAACAATGAGCTGACCAACTGGATTTATAGTGTGTGGTCTATACTCCCAGGCACCTCACATCATTTTATTTTAATTAATATAAGAAACCTGCGTGCCATTATGCAGCAGATACTGGCTTTGATTCCATTCAACACATTTATGAATCACTGTGATTTCACAGAGTCATCACCATAGCACAGCATGATCCTATTTCATTTAATCAGATGATTATACTAATCTGGGAATTGTTTTGTCCCACGCTCCTTGCTGTTGTTTTTTGTGTATTGTGTGTGTGTCTATTGTCCTCTCTTCTCTCATGTGTCTCCATCCCTTCTCTTTGTCTTATCCTGACAGACACAGCTCTGGGTTTCAGAGCTCTCCTAAGACATTCACCCTTGAGGTTTAGTGTCATGTCAGAGTTGCTCAGATGTCGGACACTTCTCCAGTCTCCTCTTCAAACAGAGGCCTGCTGGAGGTTAATGTGAACTGACCAAGTGTAGAATACATCTCTCTTTTCTGCACCTGCCTTTAAAGCTCAGTGCCTCTAATTTGTGTCTCAGAAAACATTTTTATCTTGGAGATATATATATGATATATATATATATAGATATAGATATAGATATAACAGCTGGCAGAAATGCTGAAAATCAGTGTAAGTAAAGTGCCAAAATATACAAAAGTCAGTTGTCAAAAGCTGCCAACTGCACAGTTTTGAGATGCCTGGACACAAGTATATTGCTGATGTCGCTTCAGAATTGTTTGCAAAGCTGTTTCAATATGAATGTTGCCTCTAACAACAAAATATTCTACCGAAAATCGTGTGCTTAAGCGTAAGTTAAACATACAGCTGTCATATAACATGTCATGTAGGCTAAGATAGTTTCAAACTCTGCAGCTGAGATCATTCAAGGCAGTTAGGTGATGGAAACCACTGCCAAAATTAAACATAACCCCCAATGGCAAAGGTCTTCAGAATCAGATCACTAAAGGTAGATTTGCCTTTGTCTGACAATGGCAGACCACCATTTTCTCTCTGCTTGCTGTTGTCTGGACAGACGTCACTTTAAGCAGGCTACATAATAAACAACTCACAGTTCTTATCCAACATCAAAACAAACTTCCTACAACTGACTGGACACTTGAAGACTCATCGGTCATCTGCATCTTGAATGGTTGTTTCCAGTTGTAGATAAAAGCAAGTCTAGGATTAGGATTAATCTCATGTATCATACTTTAAGTACTTTTTAAAGATGGAGTTTTATGGTTCTTTGGGCTGTGATATACACAGAATTAAGCTGCTATATAATCCACCTCTCTCTGTTGTCTATCTTGTCACCGTCCAGTTTATATTGTCCAGGAAGCAGGAAAGCAATAGCCAACCGTCGTGTCAAGTTTATTTATGGAGAACAAACAAGTTGGTCACCAAATCATTCCAGAAAACAAGGGCCTCAAAATAAACTAGAAAATTCCTAAAGAAATTTTGACAGTGTGGCTTCTACTGCCCGAAGAAATCGCAATATATACACACGCCAATGTTACCGGTAGTGTCATTCAGGTTCAATTGAGATAGCGCTACTCTCTTTTCTGCATTTTAGATTAATATTCTTGGATTGAAACTTGTATTTGTGGTGCTTTTATTTTGAAAGGGTGGGACTGGATGGGTGAGAGAGGGGGAGGGGAGACAGAATCATAATGTTTGACATTAAAATGAGAGGCTTCATCACAAGCATTCCAGTTAGAATTCACTCTGTGGGGCTTTTAATTTGAAATGGGGCCCCATTTTTTAGCTCTCTTCACGCCGCAACCCCATTCAAGTGAATGGGGTTTTCCCGAAAATCCCAAAAAACGGAGCAAAATCGCCCCATTGACTTGAATGGGGTTTTGACGTGAAGAGAGCAAAAAAAACACTAAACTTTGGACCCATATTGACTAGCCGTACATTAACGTAGAAACATGATTCAAAGTTTAAAACGTAGACAAAACGCTGCACTTTATTGAGCCAAAGGGACATTTTGATAGCTAGCACAGTTTTCATGAAGTCACAGATTAAGTTTCAGGAAAATTTTGGGTCTGTTTCAGATTTTATAATGGGTGTGTATTGCACGGCTCGTTAAGAGCTAGAGTGAGAGCATAACTGTCAGAGTGGAGCGGAGCAGGAAAATCTTCTGTGATTTTTCCAAATAAATTGCTCTAGCTCCCACAATTTTTACTCTTTATACACCATTTTTGGCCAAAAAGCTTGGAAATGTTGTGCTGTCGCACACAGATGTCTGTGGAATCCAACGGACTTACACATTTGGCTCAAAGAGCTATAGAGCGACATGAACTTCAACCAACTGCTCCATTAGACTCCATGTTAAATCTGACCACTCATTTCTCAAAGAAAGCAGACGGTACCAGTTTTGCATATTGCGCTTGAGCTCACATTTTTAAGACCAGAAACATAAAAAACACATCTCCACGTTTGCCAGAGTCTTATCTCTCTCACAGTATCCATATTTTATTGATTAGTCTCATGGTTTTGGTATGAAGGGCATATGTTTGACAGGTAGTTTTGTTGGAAATCACTGGTTACTCTCTCTCTTAATTAGCCTCTAACACACAGGTGCTTCAATCACCAACATGCACCCAAGCACACAGGTGTTTATATGAGCTCATTAGTGATGTTGATAAACACACAGCGGCACTGAGACACACACGCACACACACTCCTCTCCCTCTATCTCTCTGTGTGTCTCTCTCTCTCTGTGTGTGTGTCTCTCTCTCATACAGTCATTCAGGTCTTGGACACTTTTAGAGGACTCCTGTCTGCCTGTCTCACTCACTCACTCAGTCCATCTAACTGTCTGTCTGCCTGTCTCTCTCTCACTCACTCAGTCCATCTAACTGTCTGTCTGCCTGTCTCTCTCTCACTCACTCAGTCCATATAACGGTCTGTCTGCCTTCTCTCTCTCTCACTCACTCAGTCCATCTAACTGTCTGTCTGCCTTCTCTCTCTCCCACTCACTCAGTCCATCTAACTGTCTGTCTGCCTGTCTCTCTCTCACTCACTCAGTCCATCTAACTGTCTGTCTGCCTTCTCTCTCTCCCACTCACTCAGTCCATCTAACTGTCTGTCTGCCTGTCTCTCTCACTCACTCTGTCTCTCTCTCCTCTCTGTCTATCTTTCTGTCTGTCTGTCTCTCTCCCTCTCTGTGTCTCTCTCTATCATACAGTCATTCAGGTCTTAGATATTTTTAGAGGACTTTTCCCCTCTCACCCCCCCCTCCCCCCCATTTCAAATGAAAAGCCCCACAGAATGAATTCTAACTGGAATGCTTGTGATGAAGCCTCTCATTTTAGTGTCAAACATTATGATTCGGTCTCCTCTCCCCCTCTCTCACCCACCCAGTCCCACCCTTTCAAAATAAAAGCCCCACAAATACAAGATTCAATCCAAGAGTATGAATCTAAAATGCAGAAAAGAGAGTAGCGCTATCTCAATTGAACCTGAACGACACTACCGGTAACATTGGCGTGTGTATATATTGCGATTTCTTCGGGCAGTAGAAGCCATACTGTCAAAATTTCTTTAGGAATTTTCTAGTTATTATTATTATTAAGCCCGCAGGATTACAGTCAGTGTGCTTTGGCACAGGCAGTTTCACTGCCTTGAGCCACAAAGCCACACTGAATGAAAGAAAACCGGAAAGAACAGGTACAAGACAAAACACAAGAGAAAAGGCTTTTAAATGCAAGCGGCTGTGACAGAGAGTGCCTTTTGCCTTGTAAGGGAGAAAACCAGGTTGATATTTCTATTTTCAATAGAGGGATAGCAGCTATGCAGATATGGAGACATCCAATGTTTTCTTAATAAGCAAGCCAAAAACAAGGGACTCAACGCAAGGGATTTTTTTTCACAAGTTTAAAATGTATGAAAGTCTGGCAACATCCATGTTTCAAGCCACCCACCATCACCGAAGCTCTGTGACCCATTCAGACGTTGTTCTTTGATGTTTAAAGGGGTGAAATCAGCCCTGCGGTGGCTGTGTGTGTGTGTGCGTGTGTGTGTGTGTGTCTGTTTAAATTGACTCATTATTGTCATGTCACTGCATATTGCATGCATTGTTGACATGCAATATGCAATATATGCAAAGCCTGGGTAGAAAGTCGGTAGGTATTTTTGTATGTGTGTTTGTGTTGATGCGTGGGACACTAAATACACCATTACGTCATGTCTGTGATCTCAAACAGGTCAGAGGCACACACGCACACTCATTACTCACATTACTCCGATTACACACTCATTACATCTGAGAATCTAATTGGTGAGCGCTCACAGCAAGAGATTTAAACATCGCTTCACAAACTACTTCTCTGGGCATATGTGTATGTTTGTGTTTGCTTCTGTTATTGTGGGTTTTGTCATTATAATCTCGTTCAAATAAATAATATGAATCAAGAGAAAGCGGTGATCAGGGAACTTGTGTCATTTATTGAAGGAATCTCTTCAAGGATTTTTATTAATGCTCATAACAAGGTCGAAGTAGTTAAGATCAACAAATGGCAACCAATATGTAATTGTACAGTTTATTTTAACATAAGAGCATAAGTTCACTCTTTCAGGACTGTTCAATCTAACTACGTCACATCTCTTTTAGATGATTCATCCCTGCATGGAAAGTTGAAGTCAAGGTTGCACCAAGTTCAAGGTTTAGAAACAGACACTCTGACTACCTACGCTCATGTGTAAGATAAAACTGAGTCAACAAAACTGAGATCAACCTCTACACGTGTCTAGTCACCATACCTGATTGTTTAAGACACTCACACATTATTCAATGAGAGGCACCCTCAACACATCCTGTCATCCTGATACGAGTGCATCATCTCAATACTCACTCCACTGAGATGATAACATTAGGGAAGTCGTGTAATGTAGTTGTGCAGCGCTGTAGTTTGACATTTTTGGCAAGGTGTCCGACAGAATGAGATTACATAACAACCAGAGAATGTTGTGGCTTCATGAAATGGAATACATTGGAATAGCTCCCATGAGGCTTTGCGAAAGAGATATGGGTATTCAGTTTTTGATGCTGACGAAATGATTATTCTTTTGCTCTGCATAAAATGTTCAGTTTCAGAGTTTAACGTCAAATACATCTGTAGATGCAGAGATCATAGCTGTCAGAAATTCACAATACCTCTGAATCATAATTCCAGCAGGTTGACTTGGACTGTTCTTAAGCTGTTTGTAATGGTGTGGATATCAGATACATACCAGCCTATACAACATGTATGTGGAAATATGTCATCGGACAAAGTGTTGGACAAGGGGTGGCCAAACAATGTAGAACCATGTAGTCTGCGTGTTTCTCATTCCAGCCTGGTTCCAACATGGTTAGCCACCTCTGTGTAGGACCAATGGGCTAGTATGGAATACACTTCCTGATCCATTATACGCCATTGCTTTCCAACTCAATTTTTTGTGTGTGTACAGCTGCCTTGTGTGCGGAGGTTGAGGAGCGACTGGTGGGTCACCTGTTGTCACCAGACCGCTACAACAAGCTGATCAGACCAGCTGTTAACAACAGCCAGCAGGTCACCATTTACATCCAGGTGTCTCTGGCCCAGCTGATTAACGTGGTGAGGAAACACACACTCTATCCAAATCCACATTATGTTGTTATTATAGAAGCATGTCCCACTCATTTTAGGTAATTCAGGAACACACATGGTGGAGACTGTTCTATTTGGATGAGCTCCCTCTTCCTGTCTGTGTTTCAGAATGAGAGGGAGCAGATCATGACCACCAACTGCTGGCTCAGTCAGGTTTGTGTCCACACTCGTACTCTTGTTTTCTTTTCTGTGTGTGTATTTGTGTCCATCTGTTTAAAATGCTTTGTCTTGCCAAATAGGGGCTAACTGAACCAGTGTGTGAATGTGTCTGTATGAACTGATATCCAACCCAACTGGTATGTTTATGGGCCGCAGTAGCTCAGTCCGTAAGGACTTGGCTTGGACCAAGTATTGAGTGTGGACTAGTGGCTATAGAGATGAGTGAGATGAATGAATCTATTTCCTTATATGGGCATGTGTGTGCACTTCTTTATCAGGTATGGCATGACTACAGATTAATGTGGGACCCTGAAGCGTACGAGGGAATCAAGAAAATCCGTCTCCCGTCACAACACATCTGGCTGCCGGACATCGTCCTCTACAACAAGTATGTCGGCTTCGTGAAACACAAAATGAGTGTGTACCTTTGCGTAAAACTAAGTGATTAAAAGAGGAACAAACACCAACAGTGAGCAACTTTATTCAAAAGCCCCATTTTCCTAAAATGTTTTCTCATATCCTCTTATTCCTTCTATCCTCTTATATCTTGTTTATTATCCCACCTCCTTTAGGGTAATGAGTGCCACCAAACTGTTTTGTTAACACTGTCTAGACTGTCTCATGATGAAGAGTGATATTTTAAGGGATTAGAGATCACAGGTTTTACGGAGAAAACGAGACAGGGACATATTGAAGTTATAAAATTTGCATTGGGTCACACCTTTGATAACCGATGCCCACGTCAAGTGATCACATCTCACATTTACATTAAAAAACATGTATTATTGACAGCAACTGGCCTGCAGCAACAAGACAAATTTCAAATGTTTCCGCTGCATTTCATAATATGGATTATAATATGTACACCGGATCAATGCAATCAAATCATAGCGTGTCATTAGAAATCAACGTAACACCCTTACTATACATTCAAACTACTCTGGAAAAGGGACAACATCCCCGTACATTCTTTTGTGTTTTTGCACATTAAGTAGGAATGCACAAAGCATTGATGTGAGAACATTGTCCCTTTGTTTGCACATCTAAAAATGATCTTGCTGCTGTATGAAATAGCTGCAAGGGAAACATCAATACACGAGAATGTTAATGCTGTAATGAGTTAATTCAAGGAGAAATGAGTCCCACTGCCTTTATCCTCTGGCGTGTTAGCTGGCAAACACAAAGGCTTTTGGGCCAACACCTGGGTCTTTCTAGTCCATCTGCTAGTTTCTTGTATATAAATTCCATATGATATTAACAGTTAACTTGGACTGTTACCACTGGAGTAAACTATCTAACTGTACATAATGTATACCAGTTAGAATGAGCTCCATCTCAACTTGCTACAAAAATCACAAAACATTTACTAAATGAACCTGGTGGTTTGATTGTTTTCTCAACTTCTGTATCCAAGGTCAAGAAAGCAACAGGCTCACAGCTGTGTGAACATGCATCTTTTGTGTTTTGGTCAGCAGTGTTGCCCCACAGTTTATAAAGGAGTGGTAGGCATTACACTGTAATGAACACAGATTGCTGGTCAGCTAAAGACCACATGAGAGCATGATGGCTTAAGAGGCAAAACGATAGAGGATCAGCACTGCTTTCTGACTTCAGGTTGAGGTCTCTGGCCAAGAGTAGGGGGCCAGAGGTCGCAGTAAGCAGGTGGGGCCTCTGCATTTTTAATCAGTCTGCATATTCACAGCAGGGCACAAAGCATTAGAGACTGAGTGTGATGGTTAGATTCCTGACCTACTTTATAATTGATAGACCACTCCTCTATAATGCATTACCTTCAGCCTTCGAAAAAAAGTCAGTCTCAGCAGATTTGAGGTGGAGGGGGGGGGGGCAGTTGTTGATATGTTGCTGTGATGTGTCCCAGGTTGAGCTCCTCCCTTGAGATGATAATCACACATCCTTTACCTTTCATCTAACTCATCTCATCTGTTGCATGTCTCACCTCTGCTGGTAACTAACATAACTGTTGCACGTCTCACCTCTGCAAACACACGGTAACAGTCATAAAAATCATTTTCTCAACATTAGTCAGCACAGAAAATGTGTTTACTCAAACTCTTAGCCTCTTGATGATGTTGCTACAACACTGAGTATGTTGCTAACCTGTAATCAGTTGCACTATAATAGTGAGCTAGCTCAAGATTGTAATAGATTCAACAAATGGTTACAACCAGTGACACACCGTAGAGGTTTTCTTATTAAGTAAGGTTGAAGGTGTGGAAGAGGGGTAGGGAAAACCCAAAGAAATGCCTCAGGGGGACCTTTCCAAATGGATATGCCTTGAATATCTTCACAGGAGTCCAGGGGGCATCCTTATCACATACGCAAAGTCAGTTGGCTCCTTTCAATGCAAAAGAGCAGCAGTTCAACTCTGACTTCCTCACCCTGTTCCTTTAAGTGTTTGTGTCTGTAAAATGACGTGTGAAGATGGTAAAGATGTTTGTTTGAATGAGTGAGGGATAGTCTTTGAATATGACTTGCCATGATCCTTCCAGTAATCACTTTCTCTTTGAGTGCTTTGAATTTACCTTTCTCCTTTTTTTTTGCTTACCTCCTACCTTTTTCCTCCTCCCAGTGCTGATGGGACATATGAAGTCTCCTTCTACTCCAATGCCGTGGTCTCCAACAATGGCGAGGTGGCCTGGCTCCCACCGGCTATCTACAAGTCGGCCTGTAAAATCGAAGTCCGTGATTTCCCTTTTGACCAGCAGAACTGTACCCTCAAGTTTCGCTCCTGGACCTATGACCACACTGAGATTGATCTCATCCTCCTCAGTGATTTCGCCTCACGCGACGACTTCAAACCCAGCGGTGAGTGGGATATTGTTTCACTGCCTGGACGCAAGAACGAAGATCCTAATGACATCAGGTACCTGGATATCACCTATGACTTTATTATCAAGAGAAAACCTCTCTTCTACACCATCAACCTGATCATTCCCTGCATCCTGATAACGTCGCTGGCTATTCTGGTGTTCTACCTCCCATCAGACTGTGGTGAGAAGATGACTCTTTGTATCTCTGTCCTCTTGGCCCTGACTGTGTTTTTACTCCTTATCTCAAAGATTGTGCCACCCACTTCTTTAGCAGTGCCTCTAATAGGAAAGTACCTGATGTTTTCAATGGTGCTGGTCACCTTCTCCATCGTCACCAGCGTTTGCGTGCTCAACGTCCACCATCGGTCCCCAAGTACGCACACCATGCCTCCTTGGGTCAAGCGCATCTTCCTGTACCGGCTCCCCTCTTACCTCTTCATGCGGAGACCCGGTAGCTCAAACATCCGCGAGAAGTTCCGCAAAAAACACCAGCAGCGATCATACTCTGACCAAAGGCTGTGTGGAGCGGACGGAGGAACAGGAAGTCCTGCAGGAATGGCAGATTGCTCTTCATCCTTCTTTGTGAATGAGGAGTCGGCCAAACGTTACGGATGGAAGATCAGCGACTTGTCAGAGAACACAGAGTTCAGGAAGAGGATGACGCTCAAATGCAACATTGACACAGAGGATGCGGTGGATGGCGTGCGCTACATCGCTGAGAAGATGAAGAGCGAGGATAATGATGAAGGGGTAGGTGTATCTGCACGTGTCAAAAGTCAAAAAATGTGCACACTGCTTGTTGTTTTTTTGTTAGCTTTTTACTATTCATAGATGTTGGCCGTTTAGCCACAAACTTAAAGACAGGACATCTTACACTAGCAGCATGGCTACCTGTATACAGAATTAATAGCAATGTCTGCTGGTCGCCATCAACCACTTTGGTCCTGACTGAAATATCTCAGCAAATATGGATTGCCGAGGAATTTTGGAAAGACATTCATGGTCCCCAGAAGATAAATCCTAAATACTTTGGTGATACCCTGACCTACAGGTCAAAATGTTCAATAATGCGGTGAAATTTCTCAAAATGTACATGATGGATTGGCTCCAAATTTGGTAGAGGCATCCATATCTCCAATATGACGTTTCTAAAGACCTTGGTGATACCCATATATTTATGATAAGCCTCAACACCTTTGGATGGATTAGGCTGTGCCACCTATGTTATGTGATGGATTACCTTGTGTAATATCCATCATATGTGTTTTGGAAATGATTGTTCAAAAGTTCATAGGCAAAAAGAAAAAAACAAACAAACAAATCAGTTCTCTTCAGTTCAGGACAAGCAACACAACAGTAAAATCTAACCTTTTTCTACAGATCATTGAAGACTGGAAGTACGTGGCCATGGTGATCGACCGTCTCTTCCTGTGGATCTTTGTGTTTGTGTGTGTCGTCGGGACGCTGGGCCTCTTCATGCAGCCTCTGTTCCAGAGTTACAACACCCCCATTATTGATTAGATGGACTGCAAAGAAAAGCTGAAACGTCCTCATGAACTTTGATTGCCCCCTAGGAACAGAGCTCTGATTTTAACATATGTACTCACATGTCCGCCTGGCACCGCACGATCACTTGGAAATCTATAATGATGCCCTTCCTTACTTCAACCTGTTGTCCCCTTCCTCCTCTACGTGTCCTGCCATCCTCTGCTCCACTCATTTGTCACCAACTGGGATCTAATTATTTTAGTTAATTAATGGATAACTCTGGTTTATAAAAACTTGGGTCACATTTTCACAGTGTGGCCATCATTCAGTGGACAGTGATGGTGGAGATCATACTGTTACTGGAGCTCTGGGAACACTGAGGCTACACAGTTATCACTTGGTTACCAGCACACCCCTAAAACCTTGGGATAGACAAACTAATTTGGATGACAAAACTAAGACAAACAGTACATTTACAACCTAAAACGTCTGTTGTAACATAAATCACAGTTTACAGATCGATTTTACGGCTGCACATTTACCTAACTTACCCAGTTGTACGTGCACACTGCAAACACTTTTGATGTGTTCAATAATATAATAATCAAAAGAAGCTTTAGACAAAGCTATGAAAACAAGACCCAATTTATAATAAACCTGAATTATCTTTCAATTCAAAACATGAAGTTAAACCACCATTCAGCCATGATGCTCTTTCTTTGAGATTAATATAAATCCACAGTCTCCAATTATTGAAATGTAGCTGTATTACCTTAAACCGTGTTGACCCCTACTACTGTTCACAAAGGTTTTTCTTGCCAACAGCATCTCAGGACTTTTTCTGTTTTGAACAGACTTGGTTTTGCTCTTATTTCTCTGTGTCTAAATCAAATTCTAATGTCGCAAACATGACGTTATTGGGGATATTTTGTTGACTTCAAAAAGCCCATGATCCCAAAGATTAACAAGGCCACAGAAACTCACAAGAAGACTCATTTTGGAGATACCGGCCTCACGTCGCCAATGCATCCCCTGCAGAGGAGAAGATGAATCCCTTCTGTGTACATATTTGGAAGAGGATCATCTCACTGTGTCTTTTTGCCAACAGCACACATACTGTTTAAATTTCTAATGTTTGCCTTAAAAATGAGAGCGAGTGGGGACACAGAAAACTGTTGGACTGCTCAAATAATAATGGATGAGTGTGTACGGGGGTGACCAGCCTGTTTTTATCCTCAAACACACCTCCCTGTGTGAACTGATAATACTGATAATAATACTGATCAAATGTATGACAAGCTGCTGTTGTGATGTTCTAATAAAGCAGCCATGTTTAAAATGAAGACGGGACATTACAATAGAGCTAAAAAAAAAAGGCAAAATGCTTGTCTCATCAAAGCAGTGCTCGTCAGCATCCAACACCAAGGAAACCAGCAGCAATAATATTGTACAGTATTTTATACACACAGACCTGGGCAAAACTTAGCCAAACAGCCCAGCTCTTCACTTGCTTCATCTTCCAACATATTGTATGCTTGATTATCGCAGTCTGCTCTCAGAGACGTTACTTGAATTTGTGTCAAAAAATGATTTCTAAAAGGTTGTCACCGTCATAACACATGTGTGTCACTGCTACCAACGCTAGCCAAGGAACAGGTGTACTGTAGGCCTACTAATCCAGTTGTATTGATTTCTTTCATCTTTGATTTTTTTTCAGTGGATGGAATGAAACATACTTTTTTTTCCTATTTCGTCCCACTGGCCAGTCATGTTGTTGAGTTGTGTCTGTCTAGACAATAATTGCTGAGAACTACAGGAAGGGACTGTGATGGGAGCTGATGTCTTGATAACTGGATCAATAAAGAGAAATGAAAGCAAAAGACAGACCTGGTGAATCACATGAACATGGTTATTTTATTTCATTCAACATTATAAACATGTCTCGTCTGAGCTCTTTTTGAGGTATCACTCACTATCTCTCCTCCATCTTTTCCTCTCTTAACAGGGTATCTGAGTACCACCTTGTTAAGGACTGAGAAATCTAAAAATTCGAAATGCTCTTTTCTCCCACCTCACACATTTTCTGCCATGCTGATACTATTCAAAACAAAGCACAATTTCCAGGCAGTAGGCATTTTGGACAGAAGTTTCTATAGAGTATGTGCTCTTTGTGTATGTGTGTGAACTCTCCGGGGCCAGTGCTAAATGTTAGTCAGCGGAATAAGGCTTCATTAAACAGTTTTGTATCCCTGGGGTTTGCAACTTCGCCTTCTGTTAGCCTAAGCTGCTAATGGGACACTGCATGTGAATGAATACACACATGTACATAATCACCAATCTGTAAAGTCGTATGTGTTATAAAGCCTTCCCCTCCTTATCAGATAGTAGCTGCTTTACTGACATTTGTGACATTTTGATATTGTGAAGACCTAACAAGGAGCAAGTAGTATCAGACGAAGCTTGTTGGTTACATGCCACTCCAACAATGGCAGCATTAGGTAAAAATTGTATTATGTGAATAATTTAAGGTCTGTTTTACAAGTGTACATCAGATGCTTTTCAGCAAAGAAACTGCTGCATCATCATTTTCCAGCCAGCATCAGATCAGTCACATACACACACACGCACGCACGCACACACGCACGCACGCACGCACGCACGCACGCACGCACGCACGCACGCAC